CACAAGAAATTGACTTGCGTGTAACTCACGGATGCCTTTGCCCTCAGGTCAACACACCTGTCCCACGTTCTTCTCAAGAGCTGACCACTTCGCCGCCCAGCAACAAGCAGACTGCCATCCAACTTGCAACTTTTTCCTCTGCTTTTGTGATTGTCTACTCTGCAAAAGAAATAAAGCTTGATTACAAAGAACACTTCAACTCAACTTCATTTTTAAACACATCACCACAATCTAACTTCAAAAAAAAAAATAAAAAATTAAAACAAAATTATTTTCAGTTTTTTTCTCAACTTTTTTCAAACATTTTTTTCCAATTTTTTTTTCCTGGATTTTTTTTTCCCCCAGGCAGAAAAATCCAGGAAAGTGGGTGTGGCCTCACTGGAATGATGGCCGATGATTCGCTGATAGTTGTGAAAGTGGGTGGAGCATGACGATAACATGCTGTGATTGGTGGAAAGGGGGAGTGGTTATGCATATTAGGCGTTCTCTGATTGGTGGGCTCTTTAGGGGGCGCAGTTATGCAAATATAGAGCAATCTGATTGGGTAGAACTTGGTAAAGTGGGCGTGGTTATGTAAATGAGGGGCCTCACCGCGATTGGCAGATGTCAAATTGGGTGTGGGTCAGGGCGGGCATTGCAGCACTTTTTCAAAGTCCCACTTGAGTCTTGAGCTCAGACTTGCACTTGGGTCACATCAGACAGTCTTTTCACTGTTCCCGTCGGTTTCGCATGACCCAAAAGCTCGATTCCTGGAGTTTCGAGTCATGTGGAGACCAACGGGAACAGTGAAAAGACTGTCTTTGAAAAGGCTTCGAGTGAGTTGAGGATGGATTTGGTCATGATAGGCAAAGACTCGAATTCAACTTGACCAATTTATTGGAGAGAAAAGCGAACATGACAATGTAAAAGCATTTGACCAGTCAATCTTTGTGTGGGCCAGTTCAAGTTGAACGCACACAAACACTGACGACAGGCCTGAGACGGCAGCATGTGCTTGGCCAGCTCATGATGTCACTGACATCTCCTGGCACACCAAGAGGGACATGAGCACGTCCGACTTCTCTCACTGAGACAAAAACGAACTGCCGTGTACTCCACAACAACATGATCACACTCTTCCGGTCAAGTTTTTAAATGACATTGAAGTGGGCCAAGTTCGTCATAAAACATATTTCAGAAGTGCTTGATGATGCTCGGGTTGTCTATGTGGAGTTGACACTGTTGTGCAGTACACGAAGCAGAAGTTTAAGTTGAGTGACAGACAGACGGGCGGGCGGGCGCACTCACCTCCACCTTGTGGTGCAACGTGACATCAGACATCAGCTCTTCAAGCACACCACACAGCTCAGTACTCACGCGTGTCCAAATGCAGGTTGGCGTCCCTTCCGCGTGTCCTCCGAGTCCGGCGGCTGCCGCTTTGGCCCAGTCATCTGACTAAACTGGTCAGGCAGTGCTGCGCCTTTGGCCCAGTCAGTCATCTGACTCAACTGGTCAGGCAGAAAAACAAAACAAAAGTGCAAAGTCACACACGGTAGTCCATAAAAAAAGTGGTTTCTTTTTTTCTTTTGAATTTGAGTCATTATTCGTAAAGTGGCAGACTTTGACTTTCAAGCCGTCCATTTCCAAACGTGCCCGCACTCGCAATGCATCTGTTTGAGCGATCCACTCGCGGCTCTCTCCCCACACCTAAAGTACAATGAGCAACCTCCTTTCGGAAAAACAAATGAACAAAGTTACGGGGGTGCATTTGTGGGAATAGTTTTGAAACAAATCTCCCCCCCCCCATGTGAAGCCATCACACTTCCACTGCTGATAGCAGCTTTGGTGTGGAAAACATCCAGAATAGTATTCAAGTCAAACGCTGTTCGCGATTGCTTTTCGATTGACAGCTGAGGTCTACTTGTCGGCTGAGTGCTCGCTCACTGCCCCCTTTGCTGACGTTGTTTTTTACGTTGGGTCACAACAACAAAATTAAAGGAGCAACGTGTCATAATAACTCTCCCCAATTGTCTACATCTATACACTCAGAGATAAACTGCGAAGTCAGTTTAAAATGTTAAAATTACTCACTGAGAACAGTGCTTGTGGATAGCGGAAAAACTTGCTCATTGAACCGGATGTGGTACCGTACTTGTGCTTGTACTTATTCTTCTTCTTGGTGAGCTTGTACTTCTTCTTCTTCTTCTTGGATGTCTTTAGTTCATATCGCCCCCTACTGTCCGGGAAACCACAAAGGCGTTTGGCAAGCAATCAGAACCTAATTTCCAGGATTAGCCAAGTGTGCTAAAAAACAAAGACACTAAATTAGGGCATATCTTGAAGAAGCACACATTTCAAGGGCAGCTGATCCGCCGAGCTGGTGGAAATACCGAGCTTCCGTCTACCCCCGTTTGATCAAAGTCACGGAGAGTAGATCGTGCATTGGAGCAACATCTGTCCCGTCAGAGAGGGTGTTCTCAAAGACTGGACAAATAATTACTGAGAGAAGGAGCCGGATCAGCCCGTCCAAGTTGAAGTATTTCGTTTTGTGGACTGCAAATTTCAAATAAAGCAAGGAGTCGCTTATGCTTGTTTGTTCACCGCTGCTGTTGGAGTTACTACTCACTATTTTTGTTATGATGCAGCATGTTTGATTGTTGTTGGTTGAAGTTGAATTCTGTTGCTTGTTTATTGTTTGGAGCCTTTTTTAATGTTCAATAAAAGAAGTAAAAAGCCATTTCTTTGCTTGATAATTGTTGCTATTTGCAGTCAGTAGAGTGCAATATTGAGTTCACCAAGTCATTGATCAAAACGTATGCTAAATTTGTCATCAATATTTCAAAGAAAAGCTCAAGTGAAAAGAGCCGATCCAAATGAACGGGATCGCCGAAAATCCCATCGCTGATTTCTAATTGACGTGGGCGCCGCCGGAACAAAGGCGCGTCCTTCCTGCACGGGCGCACAAACGAGACAGCGCGTCAATCAGGGCCCAGGCGACCCCTTCGCCCACTCTTCCCGCGCCCACTTCCTGCTCCGAGTCGCCTGCTGACATTTGAGGAAAGACAGCAAAATTGAGCACGCGGACAATGGATGGATCATTTATTCAAGTGCTTTCTTTCGAAAGTGATTTTGGCCATTAGGAGTCGTTATCGCTGAAAACGCCAGCTTCTAGTTCGCTCGTCTCTTCTATCACGCCTGTCCATTGGCGTTGCTGCGTTGCCACCATACGAAGAACGCAGTTTTGTGCACCCCAGTTGGTCAAACTGACCTCGATTCTTTGAACGGCATCGACAGCAGTTGTTGGGGGGGATTTTATTGAGGAAAACGACTGTTGAGATGTCATTAACAATTGCGACTTTTTGATTCGTGCTTCCCTTCAAATCTAAAGGCTACACTCCCACAGAATATGCGTTTCAGAATCTTTGTATTATGGAAAGCCAGAAAAGATAGAAGCGGTTTGACCTTAAAAAGAAAAAGATGTGAAAATGATGTCTGCTTTTGATGGATTCAACCTTCATGCAGCGTTATTACATAATTGGCCTTCAAATGTATCGCCGAGTTTAAAGTTAAAATCGTGCTGCTAAAATGCACCTTTTGGCGTCTTTGGAGCGAACGCCTTTTGTGTTTGTTCTATTTGTTGTTGATGTGCCTTTTGTTTAATGCACGGACGCATTTCAGGTCAAGCCCCCCCTGGTCGACCCCGGGTTTAAGGCCAAATCCTTCCCTGCGGCGAGCATCTCATTCATGTTTGTGGGTCATAATTAGGCCGAAGTGCAGTACCCTTGAGAAAAAGAAATAAATATATATAAATGTGTGTGTGCGCTGGAGGATGTTGAATCAATCCCACAAGAAGTGGATGCTCTGAATCCCAGAGATTGGAACGGGAATGCTAGAATGTGAGCATCATCAAGGAAGTTCCCAAATGAGGCGTCGACGGCGCAGCCTGCCCGCCTGCCGCATGCGGTGCTGAATTCAGACTGGCGCTCGTGCGTGCGTTCATTTCGCAATCACTCCGACGCGCACGCACACAAGCAAGTGGCAGCTCAAAAATGAAACTAATGATCCTGAAGAATGATGTAGTAGCCATTAGAGAGGAAAGCGAGCCACGTAAAGGACGCGAGGAACTTGCTCCAACGTGACACAGAGAGAATTTAAACGTCCAACCTCAAGATGATGAGGCGGACATTCCATCCCCGGTGCTGCTTGTTTTGTTGTTTCTCCACTCGGCGGGACCTCGGTCCGAATGCAATTCATCAATGTCAAAGATCGGCTGACGGAGTGCGGCTAATAGATGCGTCGGTGTTGCTCCAAAGTTACTCATCGGATTGCTTGGATATTATACGGTATCTGTTAAGTACACCAAGCATAAAAGCGCCCTTTGTTTGTTTTATGAGGAGGATTCTAATTTCCTTTTTTTTTTTGGGCCAAAATTACGATTTAACATGCAATTATTATTTTTTCGAGGATCTCTTTACATGTACTTTTTTAACAAACAGAAGCAATACAATAATCTGTATTAGAATAAACAACATTAGAGTTATTATACATCGATGTTTTGGTCTTATAGGTTAATAAGCGGTCGCTAAAATAAAGGCAAATGAAGCACAAAGTCATACAGTGCAATGTCATTCCCCAATATTTACACATTTTAGCCTTGATGGAGGTTGCCACTCGACTGAGTGCACATATGTGTTGGTCGACACCTTAAAAAAAAAAAACCTCCAATCATGAACAAAAGGCAGTGGGTACTTAATAGGCTTCCATGAGGAACCCCGCCTGATGACCACATTCCAAATGTATTGAATATATCCTGTAAAAAGTGGGGTCACTATGGCGGTCCATTTTCTCGACCGTGATAAGAGAAGCCCTGCATGTACAGCACAACGGAGCTCTTTGAAATTTGCCACTTAAGTGCAGTCACACGTGCGCGCGCATACGCACAGATTTGGGCAGCGCGGGGGAGAAGGAAGCATCGCCACTGGAAACCGCTTTTTCTCTTTGTCCGCGCCGAGAGGAGCATCGTGAAGGAGCGTGGCGGAAAACAAACCACAACTCTCTTTTCGGCGTGCGTGCGCGCGCGCGCGCGCTCGCGGCTTTCCCTGCTGATTTTTCCTCGCGTCACTTCGTGCGCGTAAAATGCGCATCTGGGTGGACTCGCCGGCGCTCGCCTCGCCTTCCTCCCCCCTCGCGTCGTCCCGCGGCGTGTGCGTGGGAAACTTGGCGGCATGCGGCGCGTCGACGGCTGCTGCGCGGACGCGCGCAACACATTGAAGCAGATGGACGCGGGCTCGGCCAGCTCGGTAAGTCTTGGGTTTTTTTGGGGGGGCAGGGGGGGGTTCTTCATGCGTTGACTGTTGTTTTTACACGCCAATCGGCGCTTTGACAAGTGTAAGGTGTCGATTGCGAGCTGAGCGTGGACGCACATCTCTCTCTGAAAACGAGATTTGGTTGCGCTCCATTGACGAGCCCTGTGAGGCTTGGTCAGAGCACTTTTCTTGATGACATCACCACTCCGTCAGACGGACAACATATTTAGACAAATGCAAACCGAAGGAGGACACACGTGAGCACATAGCGTGCTTGCGTGTGCAGAGGACACCAGGAGTTCAAAGAAAAAGAAGTGACACGTGAAATTAGAAGCTTGTCTCCTTTCATTTCAGAACTGCTGTTATTCGCGAGTCATTCACGTTCCCGAATCTTTCTGATCTATGAGAACATGATTAGATGTCATCCTTGTTGGGGAGGCGTTAGGGCCGACAGCTTGAAGCGGATAACCGGCGACCGGACGGTCAGAGCGCAGGTCGGAAGAGACAGGATTCCGGGGGGTGTTTCGATATTCTTTACTGGAAATGTTCAAGTGAATACAAGGAAATGAAAACAATCCGGGCTGATGTTGCTTGCGGAGGGATGAAGGGGACGAACGAGTTGACTGTCGTTTGGGGTTGAAGGGGGAGTGAGGAGGGACGCTTGGGAGGGCTGGATTGGCGGCTTGAGGGTTTTTGTCACCAATTCAGGCCTTAAGGAATCGTCAATGACTGAAGGAGGTACAAAGGAGTTTTGAAGACACAAAGCTGAGTTCAGGAATGACCTCGAGCAGGACGCAAACTGGCAAAGGGGTTGATATAACGCCATACTTAACGTCTGGCGGGAACTCAACTGAGGAGCGGGCTGAGCCTTTGCGACGACCCTTATTTGCGTAACAATGATAATGACCGAGTCATCATTTTAATGCTCTCCGACCATCGGACCCCGAAACTATTTGGACAAGTTAAAACCATTCATATGAGAAAAAAAAAAAAAACCAACAAACAACTTCTGACCTATTTCAAATCACTTTGTCTTTTTCACAGTTATTCAACTAATCCAAAACATTCATGACAATATTTAGAATGCTCCTTCCTCCCTCCCTCCCATCTATTCTCACTGACTAATATCCTAACTGCAATTAGGATTCAAAAAGTAATGTTATTGAATGAGGCTTAAGGTACTTGAAAACTGATGGACTTGTTTTCACTGATGAAAAATAGGAATCTTATTTGTCTTTAAAGGTCCATCGGAGACAAAAAAAAGCCACATCCGCGTTCTAATCCGTTTCTCCTCACGAGGGTCTCGGGTCGGCGGGGGTCACCCTCAACCGGTTGCCGGCCAATCGCAAGGGCACGCGTGGCCCAAGAAGCCTTCGTGTTCACAATCACGCCGAGGGAGAATTGCCAGTGCTCAATCGGGCAGCCGTGCGTGTTTTTGGAACGTGGGAGCAAACCCGGAGAAAAGCCACACGGGTGTGGGGAGAGCGCGCGAACGCCACACGGGAAGGCCGCAGCCGGAACCGAACGCCGCGCCGACCTCTGAACTGGGAGGCGGACGTGGTAACCGGTCGCCCGGCGCGCCGCCGCCGCCTTCAAACATCAACATTTGAATTGATTTGAAGCGCACGGTCCCATTTTGTTGTTTCGTCTTGCGGCTGCGGAAGTGCCGACTGCGTCAATCCAATTGCAGCCATAATATTAGGCAGGAGGTTGACAAGCGCAATCATAAAGCAGAAGCCAAATCGTTCAGTGGTAATGCGGCGGACATGAGTGTCGGTTTCAACATGCTGGTGTCTCCTTTAGGGGTGGTGGGTGGGGGGGTCCAAATGGCCAAAGGCTCTCGTGTGACGAGCGAGCCCTCTCTCTGCTGATTGCGGCAGCACTCGACCGCCACTTTTGCATCAATCACTTTTGCTCTCAAGCTCATTTGCCTGCCGCCGTTCGTCTGGCGCTGCGGGCGGAGGGGAGGGGACCCCGTGAGTGATGGAGACCAATCAGGCTGCTTGTCAAAAGGGGGGGGGGGGCAAGATATATCTCACCGGAGGAAGAACAACCCTCACATTTCTGTAAATATTTGATGATATCTTGACGAAGTTTACATCTTGTTTCACAGTGCAAGTTGACTGTTCCCTCCTAAGAACGGCCAGCTAGCAAGAGCTCGCGCGCTGGCAACAAAAGCCAGTCAACCCCTCGATGAAAATGTCCATTCGAGGCCCGCGCGGTCATTTTTGTGTTTTTTTTTTCCAAATTCATGTCGCGTGACCGCTTCGTGTTCCAAAATGTTAAAGGGGAGCAGGCGCATGTTCACTCACGCGCTCTCTCAACCTGGTCGCTCAAAGTTCACCGCCGCGACACAAGCCGCGCGCGACTTTGTCACAAAATGTCTTTTCTTCAGCGTTGTCCCATGAAACTCGTCATAAATTATGGACCAAAATGTCACTTTGGCGATCCGCTCTGTGTTCACACAGCCGAGCGAGTCCCATTTGCACGCACCGCTGGCTTTTTGTTTTGGTGGAGGAAGGTGACTTCCGTGTGATGATTTATGCAAGTCCACCTGGGAAGGAGTCCGCTTTCAAATATGTAGGCGGTAAAATATGAGCGCGGCGACTCTCCATTTTGAAGTGCCGACTCGCCGGCCTCGACATTAGGGACACTTGCGCAATGGAACGGCACCGAAGACGAGAGCTGGCTCCTCCTCCCCCCCCCCACTTTGAAAAACCCGGTGTTGTTGTCACTAATGACTTTGCGCTACACATACTTCATTCAGAGCCACTCGAACATTTTACATAATAAGTACGAGTATGAATCATGAATAGCTGCTTTTTGTTTCTCCGTTTGTTCTTCGACGTCTCCCTTTCATAACGTCACTGCTGTAAATTGGGAACGTCTCCATTGTGAGACAAATAAAGATTTACTTTTATCTTCTATCAGGTTGGACGGAGCATGTTGGGATGGTTTACGAGCTCGCTTCTACTTACGATGCAAATGATCGGTGCATGTCATTGGCGGGGCAAAAAGATGCGCCGAAGATGATGGCGCGTTCGAGCTAACGCGCTGCTAAACACGACTGTGAATAGAGCAGACGCATTCCCGCGGTCTTTTCCCGTTCTACGAGTGGAGATGTACTGAACTAATCCCTCGTTGGGAGTCCGCTGAAATCCTCCCTAAAAGTGACATCAAGAATCTGAAATCTACAAATTGAGGCGATTTGATCCATTTAAAAGTGAAATACAACTGAACTGTACTGTATTGTTTCTTTTTTTAATCGAAGAGAGTTTAGGAAACGACGAAAACTCGGGAGCGTTTCAACCATTTGATGTCGTCAGCGGGACGGTGGCTCCAGATGCTGGCCGGCCTTAAATAAAAGACGACGTGTCTCGGCTGGTTAACGTGAACTCGAAGTTGTGCGTGCGCCGTCCTTGTAGACCTGGAGATTAAGACCCCCCCGACTTTCAACCCGATAAAAAGAACATGAGCGTGTAACTGCTATCTGCTCCATCATGCGTATTTTCTCTCCTTCTCCTCGCTGACCGGCATTTCAAGCCATGAGCTGCTTTGTGCGGCGACTTTGTTGCGTGGTCGGCTGCCGCACAACGGTACACTAATACAGCATCGTGCAAGCTCTCTGTCGGTCTTGCGCCGCAGCGTATTAGAGCACCGTTGCGCTCGAGAGGAGCCTCGTGGGTAACGCCTGTTGCCTCGAAGGCGTCGTCGGAAGCGCTTTGCGGCAATCTTCTTTCTCAGACTATTGATTCAGACGCAAGAAATTGGTTTTTCTTTGTTCGGTAACAAACGTACGGCCCGCAGGCCAGAAGCGGCCCGACGGTTATCCGCTCCGTGCGTTGTTCCCAATTTTGACCACTGGAGGGCGCACCGGCGACCATTTAAATGCCGATCTGAAATTAGCTGTCAAACCTGATTCCAAAGATCAGGATTGTTATTGGCGATCGCCGTGCCTGTTCTCAAATGTGGGGAGAAGGGTTCAAAAGTAAACGTTAGCATCAGTGACTCGCAGTCGCGGGCTTCCCCCGTCTTCCCACTCACCGCACGCGCGCGTTTGCTCGAGTCGAGACGCGTCCGACGTTGCGTTTCTGCGTGTGCAACAGAGCGGCGGCGCGTTGCTGAATGGCTGACGAGCGGCAAGCCTCCCGCCCTCCCTCGTGAAGCTCGAGGCGGCCGCCATGTACCAGGAGGTGGCCTTCCTGGCCGGCAGCGCCGAGCGCCAGTTCACCCCCTTCCGCTTCAAGCGCGCGGAGAACCCGCGGGAGGTCTCTTCCGAGAAGGGCGTCTTCTACAAGCGGGCCCAGCGCCTCGTCAACAAGCCCCGGGTCCGCCGGACGGACGCCGACGACGGGGCGGCCATCATCAACGTGGGCGGCATCAAGTACCGCATCCCCTGGTCCACTTTGGACGAGTTCCCCATGACCAGGCTGGGGAAGCTGCGCGGCTGCAGCAACGAGGCCGAGATCATGGACGTGTGCGACGACTACGACGGCAGCCGCAACGAGTTCTTCTTCGACCGCAGCCCGTCGGCCTTCCGCACCATCGTCACCTTCCTGGCGGCGGGCAAGCTGCGGCTGCTGCGGGAGATGTGCGCCCTGTCCTTCCGGGAGGAGCTGCTGTACTGGGGCGTGGAGGACGACCGGCTGGACTGGTGCTGCCTGAGGAAGCTGCGCCTCCGCCAGGAGGAGGACGCGGAAATGCGCCGGCTGGAGGAAGAGGAGGCCGAGCCGCCGCCCTGCGAGGAGAGCCGGTCGCCGCCCGCCGCCTCCGACCGCGTCCTGGAGGGCGGCTGCATGCGCGGGCTGAGGGACATGGTGGAGAACCCCCACTCCGGAATCCCCGGCAAGATCTTCGCCTGCCTCTCCGTCTTGTTTGTCGCCATCACCGCCGTGACGCTCTGCGTCAGCACCATGCCGGACCTCAGGGAGGAGGAGGAGAGGGTGAGTTCGCCGGGGCTGAGAAGCTACCGCGAGTCGGCTAATGTACGATCCAAAGCGACGTGAAGCTAGTGGAAGCGCCAGCTGGGAAAAACATCCCCGGCGGTTTCCGGTTTGCGCTTCCCAAGAAAGGAAGCGATCGATAGGCGCCGCAGCGGTCCGACACCTCCGGAATAACCTGCGATCGCACCTTTATTTTTACCCCGCGGTGTCTTGACTTGCATTCGATGATGTGCGGCAGCTGCACGCGGACCACCGCGACAAACGCTACAAAACGGCATCAAGCACACCGGATGGCATCTTTGGCGCCGTTTGTTTGGATTCACGCTCTTTTGAAGGCAACGCATTCTGGAAAGAGAGTCGGCGTCAAACAACAGCGAAACATTTAAGGTCAACATCGAGCGAGCTAGCTCGATGGATGGATGGCTTGAGCGATACGCGAGCTCGCTACGGAGATGGATAGCTACGATCCATAGCTATGCTCGAAAGAAAGCACGACTTGACTTTGCATCGAAGGGAGCAACCTAAAAAACTAAACACGTTTTGTTGCCGTTTCCAAGCAAGCCGATTCGGCCTCAGAGCCCGCTGGACTTGTGCCGGCCTGAATCCAAACGAGGTGTGAAAAGAGGCCACATGAACCGCAAAGCGGCCCTTCGGGCGACCGAGAGCGCGACTGTCACGGCAATCGAAGAGCAGCTACTGCAAATAATTGAACGGGGGGGCTGCGGATGTCAGACACGCAGCCACTTTGTTTGGGAAAATGCATGGCGCGCCCTTACTTGCGTTGACAGCCGAGCACTTTTCATGCAACAGGACTGCACGGTGAAGTGCTTGAGCTAATTACGGAGTCTCTTTCCATCGAGGGGCGGGCACCGTCGCCCCCCCCCCTCCCTCCCACAAGCGGCATCATTACAGAGCATCCATTAGACTTGATAGACAGCCTTTACATTAGCGCTGATCTGACCCGCGCTCATGAAAGCAGCACACGCGAAACATTGTTTTGCGAGGCGATGTCGCCAGCGTGCGCGAGTTATGATCACGAATGGAAAGGCATGTCATCGAAAAAGCGGCGATGCCAGACTCACTTGAAGGTACACGGTTGTTTCGTCTCGCTTTATTTACTCGGTAGCAAGTTATGCGCAAATTGGGTTGGCCTTGGGTGGCGGAACGATACGCATGTAAATCTCCGACCTAATAATACAGAAAAAAAGGCTTTGGAGAAGGGTTCCCGAATTTGCCGATAAATTTGACATGAATCTCGATGCCAAAATTCAGGCGTATGGCGCATGCGGAGTCGCGTACGGGGGTTATCCTCAAGGTTTTTCATCAAAATCCGCTTCCACTTTTCACACGCTCTAAACATTTGTTCAAATGTGGCGTGAAAGAAGGAAATATCATTTCGAGTGTCGTAAGGATGGACTCTCGTCTTCCTCCCGCATTCCAAAGTCAGCTGGGGGAGGTTTTCCGGCGATACGCTTACGAGTACGACGACGCATGCGCGCCAAGAGGAAATGGAGCAGCACAATACATGCCGAGTGCCGCTCGCTCAGGTGTTGTGTTCAGGGACATTGTGTTGAAACGACGATTGCGTGAGTGCCACTCGTGCCTTCAAACGTTCGTCCCATTTGGCCTCAACGGCAGCTCGTCGACATCTGGCAAAAACGCCGACCCCCCCCCCCCCCCCCCCCCCCCCCCCCTCCTCGACCGAGGGACAAGGGACATCTCGCCAACGTGTCTCTGTAGAGTTCCCCTCAATCTGAAGCTAACTAATCCGATCTTGTCAAACGTGTTTTGTTATTCAAGAAAAGGAAAGAAGCACTCAAGGGGATTGAGTGGGAAGTCTCGCGGGGACGAGAGTCCGCACGCTTGTGTCACAAGCTAATCAAATACGGAGCTTTTTGTCTCCCGCAAGCCACCCTCCCAAACGCCTCTTTGGGTCCGCTCCAATTTGTCAAAATGTGCTTTTAAGTCTGTTGTCCAAGCACCGCGTGGAGGACGTGATTTAAGATTACGAGACAATTGCGTTTTTCATTCTGAAGAGGGGGAAGTGGAATGAACAAATGCTGCTGCTGCTGCTGCTGAAAAAAAAAAAATTGGATTAGAAGGCTACTTCCTGGTTGACCAAGAACCATACACAAAACAAGATCGGTCCATTTTCAATTACATTTGCATCCTGATGAGCGTGCTGCGTGGAGGCCTTTGGGAACGTTTCGTGAAGCGGATTGCCCGCGATCGTTAGATCGGAACATATTTTGAAGACAGTGTGCCAATCGCATTTGCCGCACTAAAATCATTGAATATGAAGACTTTTTCTTCTCTTTTTTTACAAATAAATAAATAACGATTGTGACGTGTCCCGCACGAACGGGATGCCTCCAGATGAGTTTTGCGGGAGCGCCTTTGGGACGGCTCAATCAAAAAAGCAGGGAAACGTTTGCATCCATTCGCAGTCGACTGGCGAGAACGCCGCCGGTGTCGGCAGCTCCCCACCGAGCGCGCGGCACAAAGCGACTTAAAGGTAAATGCGTAACCACGAAAGGCAAGCAGTCGTCATTTTGCACTGCGCTTCAGGCCCGCCCGCCCGACTTAAGACCCAAACAATGTCTTGTAATCAGACACCGAGAGACCGATCTCTGACCGAGAGACGAGTTGCGTTTTTGAGTACACCTTTGACGGCCTTTTTGTTTTCGTACGTAACGAACGTTCATCGGCCTTCTTTGTTCTTCGGGAAAGGCGAGACTCTCGAAGCGCTTTGACTTTGCGACATCGCCTCCGTGTCGGTCCCGAGACCGGGAAAAGAGAATAACGAGTCACGACTCCAAGCGTTACGGCGTCCTTACCTCGTCGGCTGACCTCGGCGCGGTTGTCGTTTGTCCCCGCAGGGGGAGTGCTCGCGGAGGTGCTTCAACATCTTCGTTCTGGAGACGGTGTGCGTGGCCTGGTTCTCCCTGGAGTTCACGCTGCGCTTCATCCAGAGCCAGAGCAAGTGCGCCTTCCTGCGCACGCCGCTGAACGTCATCGACGCGGTGGCCCTCCTGCCCTACTACGTCAGCCTCGTCGTGGACTCGCTGTCGGCGGGCGGCAAGCCGGCGGGCTCCGGGAACAACTACCTGGAGAAGGCGGGCCTGGTCCTGCGCGTCCTGCGGGCCCTGCGCATCTTCTACGTCATGAGGCTGGCCCGCCACTCGCTGGGCCTGCAGACGCTGGGCCTGACGGTGAGGAGGTGCGCGCGCGAGTTCGGCCTGCTGCTGCTCTTCCTGTGCGTGGCCATGGCGCTCTTCTCGCCGCTGGTCTTCCTGGCCGAGAGCGAATTGGGCGCCGAGCAGGAGTTCACCAGCATCCCCGGCAGCTACTGGTGGGCGGTCATCTCCATGACCACGGTGGGATACGGCGACATGGTGCCCAGGAGCATCCCCGGCCAGGTGGTGGCGCTCAGCAGCATCCTGAGCGGCATCCTGCTCATGGCCTTCCCCGTCACCTCCATCTTCCACACCTTCTCCAGGTCCTACGTGGAACTGAAGGAGGAGCAGAGCCGAGCGCCGAGGCAGAGGCCCGACTCGCGGGACGGCACCAAGTCGCAGAACAGCGAGGACTCGCAGGACACGGAGAGCTACCGAGGCGCCGCCGTCTCGGCCGCCGCCGCCGTGTCGGCCGCGCGGAGGAGGAAGCCCGCGGCTCTGTTCGGAGAGGGCGCTTGATTGCCTCCTTCCCGGGGAAAAGCGGGCTCTTCCCAAACGCCTGTTGGGAGTTTCTGCTCGCACCGCGGGAAGCTTTCTTTGGACTTTGGGATCATGGCTGATGAACTAACTGCTAACTATCCACCAGTCCCCCCGCCCCCAAAAGAAAAAACAAACAAAAACCAAACACTGCCACGAGGACATTTCAAGTTGTGTACACGGGTGACGATCGGGACTCAATTGAGCATTTTTAATTTTTTTTTTTTACCAATCTTAGGATCAACGTCCACAAAGGTCGTCTTCAAAACAAAACGGTGATCCTCAAACTTTGTCCACCAAGTACCACATGGAAAGCCATTTTGCTCTCCAAGTCGCACCGCGACCAACATTGGTCGTAAAAAGGTGTACGAAACGAAACCGAGGTAAATCGTTGAGCGAATATTATTTTAAGGCAACAATTGACAATGGCCGACAATCGTCATCGTGAAAACGCTCGCCGCGCAGCTTAATTGCCTTCATCATTTTTTGAACAACAAGGAATTAAACAAAAACAAAGGGAGTCCGGTTGCCTCCAAAGAAAAAGAAGTCCGTTCGTATACATTTTGAAATCGATATTGTGACAGTATGTTAAAAATGACAAAGGCCGTTCTGCTTTTAGGCTAAGCGTGTGGCCAATATTTACGACCGCATATCCTCCCTCGTGTGTGTGGCGGTCAACAGAGTTTGGCCGAGCCACAGATTCGGTCAACGTAACCTCACATGGAGCGCGAGCCAATTACGAGATAGGCTAACAGTTAGCATCGCTTCTCGATAGAGTTCACAGATCATCGATTTCGTGGTGCGGTCTCAGAGCAGTAAGCGCACAAAGCCATGACATTTTTTTTTTTTCCTTATCACGTGTTTTGCCTCACGTCCCAAAATTGATTAGCATGCCGAAATCCGCAACGCTCGTCCCGCCCTAATGGCGCGAGGCTATCGAGCCTTCGCTCCGATGCGAAATATTTCACATGGTCTTGTTAGTGAAGCAGAATGATGGAGCGAGAGGAGTAGTGTTCATGGGAATTATTGATGCGCCGTTTCATTCCCCTTTATCGTCTCATTCAGTATGCACGATGTGGGCTGAGCTAATTATAAGCCACAACGCAGCAGGAAAAAAATAAAAGTCTCAACGGTCTGTCGGGAAATTAGATTGATGAGGAAATGAGAAAAGGATTGATGCCGATCGAGCGAAGGAAAACACGAAGAGAAATTCACTGCGCCCAGACAACGAAGGAGAAGCCATGAGTCTCGTCTTCAAGATTTTAATAAGATCTAATCAAGGTCCAGAAACATGGGAGCTGCTTACCAATTAGTTTCAGTCAATACCTTTTTTTTTTTTTTTAAAGGTCAATGATTAAAATGACAATCTTTATAATGATGATCGTAATCTTAAATCTGGAGCTGAAAATGTGTGAGCCATAATTTTTAGTATGCCATTAAGTGTTCTGAAGATAAATTGGTGAATGCTGCAATTTTTTTTTTAATCACGGAGCAATTTTTGGGTGGTGTTAACCTTTACTCGAGGGCTGTATATATATGTATCGGTATATAAAAATATAAAGAAATAAAAATAAATGGCCCGCAACAGCAAGCACTCAACGGTGCGTTATGGAACATTTCAGGGGATTCCAGAATAAATGTTGAGTTGGAATTTTGTATTAGCGCTCCGTCATCGATGTTAACCGTGTTGTGCGTATCAGTCGCTGACAACCCTTTAGTCATATTTCGAGCTTGGCTGGAGTGCAAAGGCTAAAACAAAAAGTGCAAGAGCCTTTTGATACATTTCCGCCCCCCCGCCCCCCTTGAGCAGCAGAAACAAAACAGCTGACGCGCTTTCAGCCGAGCCAAGCGTTGAATTAATGGATTTCTTCAAACGACGAGTGCAGTCTGTGACTGTGTGTGACTGGAGTGCCTTGTCAGTAGAAAAATCAAATAGATGACCCAAAAAAAAAAAAAAAAAGTGTTGAACTGTAAATAGTATGAAGCTGTGCTCTTTTAAAATCCCACACAGGCATGTTTAGGATGGATCAACGCATGCAACTATTGCACACAAACATTTGAATTATTATTATTATTTTTTGCTGTGTGTGTTTTTACAAATGTCTTTTTTTAAATGGTTGATTGGAAAGAAACGACTTGGAATGTGGGTTTGAAAGAGCCTGTCTTGGCGAAAAAGAAAAGAAAAAAACTCAATCATCAATACAACGAAAGATTGGAATGAATTCCTGAGCAGGAAATGATGGATGAGCAATCCATCACACCAAGGATGCACGGAAAATTTGCAAGCGTGCGTGCTGTGCTTAGAACATTCTGAATTGTTTGGTCCACATTGGCTGTTCCTAATAAACGCAGTGTTTCCACCAACGATGTTGGCTCAATGCGCCGCCGACTTTGCTCAACAGTGACAGCGCCTCGTGTGAGGCGAAGGTTTCTCGGGCTGCGGAAAAAGATACGCGCAAGAAATTCACCTCGCGGACACGCTCCTCACACCGGTGAGCGCCCTTCAAAACAACGGAGCGGCGGCCGCACACAGCGACGAAAAGGAGAAACCCGTTGAAAGACAAGAGAGGAAAATGAAAGCGGCAGGGACAGGAAGCTCATTTTTCAAAAGGAGTTAGTTGTTCATCATACCGTAGAAGCGGTCGTCGCTGGACACGTGGAAAGCCACAATGGATGGATTAGGGCTCTTCATTGGACACGAGGTACACCTTCGGAATATCATGAAAATCCAAGACGTACTTGTACAATGCAAGCAAAAAAACAAACAAACAAACAAACAATTTTATATATATATATATAGTAGCCGCAAAACAAACATAATACACCGGCTGACCCTCTACCTGCTCTCTTTATTTCATCCATTTTTTTCCACTCCATTGTTGGTAGATAACGAAGAGGTAGACGAGATATGCTTTAATTGAAACGTAGCACAAAATGAACATCTTGTATCTATCAATATATATATGTATATATAGATATATATATATAGAGAGAGAGAGAAGATGAATAGCACTGTCATGTCCCGTCCGGATGATTGGGAAAGAAAGATAAAAGGGGAAACGCCCATGTGGGCAGATGGCACGCTCGTCCACAGAGCAGGAAATGAAATTTCATGGAAGCAAATGGAGATGGAACACAAACCCTCGTGAAATGATTCGGACACTGGTAAGGAAGGGCAGTTAGCTCTTCAATTGGGAACAAAAGAGCAATCAAACGGTCGGGTGGCGTGGCGTGACATGGAGAGATGTGCCCTCGGGAGCCTAATTCGACAGTGCGTTCACTTTGTGGCTTCTTGGCTCTTCTTCATCGACACCTTTGGTCATTGCTCTTCAAGAGGTCCTTTTGGGCAAAGGTCCAAAGCGGGCTTGAGCCGAGGATGGCTCCTCGTAGAAGAAACCGCCCCGAGGTCACATTTCTAGTTGACTGGCTCTTGTTCAACACACTCGGCTCTTTTGCCTGCTCTGAGAGGGCACGCGGGGGACGCGAGGCCAACAAAGGTGGCAAAACTGAGCCGCATTTTCTCACCGTGCATGTCGGCAACAATAGTGGGGGGACAAACAAACAAACAGCAAATGCCTTTTCATCCATTCAGCGATGCATACAGATTGAAATGAGTGCGCAGCGAGCTGTATCTGGGGGGGGGGGGGGGGGACGAAGGCAAAAGGGGGGCATGCAACAGCCAATTCCGGTCAATTCCGCAAATTAAAAGCCGCTTGGGTTCGGTAAACAGTGCAAAGATTCCCTCCCCACATGCGCAGGTTTCACAGATATGCACAAAACGGATTAGTCCCGGTTTGGGGTTAGGGGAGCAAAGCTTGTGTCAGGGTTTGGATTGCGGGTTATGGTAGCCACGGCGGTGGTTCAGGGTTGCCCTCAATTTGCATTTCTCATCTTGCCATTCCTTCAGACATCACGGCAACACTTTGGAAAAGATCCTCGGCGAGGCCCGTGCCGTTTTTCCATGCTGCCTCTTTGTATCCATCCGGGAATCATCCGCCTTCTGCCGTAGTATCAGCGTTGCAACAGAATTAAAAAAAAAAAAAATGCCGGGTCTCCTGTTACGGTTCGACCGTGAGAAATTTAGAGACCGGAGCTAAAAGCGAGAAGTGACCTTGACCAAATGTTCTTTTGCATCAATGAACGCGACTTGGCAGAAGATGCTTTGATTCAAGACTTCACATCGGAGTTGAAGCATCCGCGGAGAAGCCTTTCCAACTCCATAAGTCGCCCCTTTTTCCAGACCGTGCGGTTACATTGGGAGAATATACCATCGGGAAGATTCAAAAGCACGATGACGGGTTGACGCGCAACAAGTTGCGCAAGGCTTTGGCGCAGACACCGAGCGAGTCATCTCGAGTTCTTCCCGTTTTCCTGAGCCGCGGCGCTCGGATCTCAGAGGGCTTTGGCGCAGGCGTTGTGGGAGGCGGCGTGCGGCGCCGGCTTCTTGGGGTACAAGCGATAGTAGTAAACCTGGAAGAGGATGGAAAAGTCCACCAGGACCTGCAGCATGCCGCAAGTCCAGAACTGCACGGGCGCTTGGGTGAGCAGGAAGTAGCCCGTTTTGAAGGTGTCGCCGCTCGTCCACATCAGCACCATCTTGACGCTGCGAGGAACAAGTTGAGAGGGGACGCGGTGGGTGAGGCGTGCTTTTTCAAAACGCATCAAAACCACTCCACCCCATGCCCTTGCATCTCGCCGCTCCCTACTGCGCGGCCCCGGTCCTATGAACTCTTTCATTCCACAAGACGGACTTGTACGTCTTTATCAAATTAGGCCCCGCCTACCAAGGACATACTTGTACGTTTAAGTCTTTTTATTTGCGTCACAGAGAGGAGGAGGGTCTGATGCAATCTGTGAATGAGAATAAGCCGTTTGCATTGTAAAGCGTGTCAAAAGCGAGCAGTAGGTGGCACGTGCTAGAAAGGCACGCTTTCCAAACAGCTCCTTTTCTCCGTTTTTTGCCCAGGAATTGCCATTTTCATGAAACTTTGCCATCTTGAAATGCCGATTGCTGAAGAATGGAAAAAGATTTTGTGCTGAAAGAAGAGAGTCCAAGCTTTATTTTGGTGGGCTCCTTGTTTATGTAGCATTCGAAGCCAATATTGTGTGGGCCTTGCCAGATAAGTCAAACGCTGGGATCGAGGGGGTTGCTCCAGCGAAAACGGCTGGGATTGAATGACTTAAGCGGGACTTGTGAACATACGTAGCCGCCAAAAATGACAAAGATGGATGGCGTGATTGGAAAGGCCACAGGATCGACTCCCGCGCACGGCCCGCCTTCCCATATTCCGATGGGCCTCCTTTAAAGAACGAAAGACGCCTCATCTGCTGTGCGTCCGCCTCGTCTTGTCGGGGAAAAGCTATGCGTGCGATTCGTACGTCCAGTTTGACCTTGGCCCTTTTTCATTTGGAGGACCCGTTTGCGGATGAGCCTTGCCGTTGACCTCAGGCCGCCTACGTGCTGCCGTTTTGGCACGCTCTTTGCTGACTGGGAAGCGTCTCTCTCTTCCTCAAAGCCCATTCCTCTTCAATCCGGCGTCTCTGTACCTGCTCGCCTCCCTGCCGCGCGGCAACCTCCCGCTCGCAGCGCGGAGCTCGTTAGCGACGTTCTTTGTCAAGCTCCTCGTCGACCGTCGTCTCGGTTATGAGCGCGAGACTTCCCGCGGGGAGCCGCGAGAGAGGCGGGAGTGGTGTTTGATCGAATCCTCCCCCGCCCCCTCCAATCCAGAGGGCGTCTGGGGTGCCGCCAGAACATCGTCTGGCAACTCGTTGGGAGAGGCGCTCGGCGCAGAGGCTCGCATCGGTGATTGGTCGGGAGGAGAAAGCGTCGCAACGGTCCTTTGAAAAGGTCAAAAACTCACACTTGAGATCAATGACGTGCGTTGCAGTAAGCGGCCACGACGACTCCCACTTTAACAAGTGTGGATTTCGTTCAAGCGAACACGTTGGATTTCAAGCGAACGCAAATACGCCGTGACCTGCACAGTCCATTCCCAGGTCATCTTATGAATAGTTTCATTCAAACGTATGACACAAAAAAAAAAAAATATATATATATATATATATACACACACACACACACAAATCTCCAAAGTGATGATTGCTAGGATAGACGTGCCCGGGGGACTCAATGGCTCATGAGTCCCAGGGACTGACCTCAAGCTTTTCCAGCTGCGGCTGGTCCAAAAGCTGCTTTATCTTGCACGCTGCCGCCGGGGTGACGGCGCAGCACCATCGGCGGTGAAGCTATTTTTCTTTTTCTTCACATACAGTATGTGCGTGCGCTGGCGAAATGAAGCTGCGAAGCTCTTATCCGACATCATAGGACACGAGCCTTATAAGGCTCCACTTTGGATATCCGGACGTTCCCCCCCGTCTCTTTGATGAGTGTTCGTCTCGCAGTTGTTTTATGGCAGGTCGCTCGACGTCTGCCTTTGGCGAGCCGCATACTAATAGCAAGAGGCCTCAAACTATTCGATAGGCTTTACGGCGCGCGTTCCACAGCCCGCTCAGTGCAACACAGCGGCTGAATTCGGTGAAAAATACGGAAAGCTGCCCGCACAAGCGCGGCGTAATTAGACAAGCCACCATGTGGAGCCATTCAAACTTGAAGCGGGGGAGCAGTGAAACGAACCTGCATGCAGACCGACCGTATTTAGCGTCCGACAAATACAAGGATGTCCTCACGGGACAAATGCCATGTTGTTAAAAAAGGAAGGGGGCTTTCTCTTGGATGTCGAGAAAGTCGCGACGAGGATTCGCTCAAACTTCCACTCTGGCTTGTTGCGTCTGCTGGAGGTCGGTCTGAAACGTTTTACCGACGAGCCAGTTCGCAATTGGCCAGATGCTTTCCGGCATGGTTCTTTGGAGAAAGGGCACGATGGTTTACGCCGCACTGGCCCTCTGCTTACTCCTTCGCATATACACGCACTTATTCACTGTCAAACTTTCCCGGGTGGGTGTCTCAACATATGTTCCGGACCTTATACGGTGCTGCGAATAGATACAGATGAGCGCCGCACGGACCGCGCGGGAGTCGAGGTGAAGTAGCCTAGCAACGGCTGTCAACTCTCAGCAGGTTGTGCCCACAGGACGGAAGGCAGCAACCAGATCATGGATGATGTTTACAATGGATGCAGGGGGAAAAGAAATGACACCTTGAGAGGCTTTGCTTTGCTTTGCTTTGCTTTTCTTTTTTTTTGCACGCTGCCGAGCTCGAATTGACATTGACACAAACACTTTGGGTTTTGGAGCACCTTGTGCCAAAAAGATGCCTTCCAGCGATGAAGTCGACTGGATGCAGATGATGCATAATATTAAGAGCAAGCGGGCAAGGTGCCCTACTTGGCGGCGGAAGAGTACCGCATATATGACCGCGATTATTGCGGTACGCCCTTTGCTCCTTCACAGCGGCGAATGTTAGAAAGTTCCTGATTCTTGTTGATGGAATAACGACTGTCTCAGTCTCTCGAAAAACATCAGGAAACACTTTAGCAACACCAAGTAAGCTCGAGCTTCCCCGTGACCCGAACGATGACAAGCTCCTTTGGAAAACGGGGAGGATACTTTTATCGTACTGTGATTCAAGAGGCGATTCCGACACCGCAAGGTGATTTGAGTGCGTGCGGAATTGGGGAACAAATTCAAATTGTAAGGCGAGGTAGCACAGGATAATAATTGAAACGTTGCCTGAGCAACACGACACGAGGACTTTTTTGTTCCCTTTCAGTTTAACTCGATTCAGGGCTTGCCACGTGGAATCCCCGTCTTCCATCTCTTCCCCGTCCTCTGCATCTCAGACGCTAATTCCAGTCATCGGCCAGTCGTCAATCACCACGCCCCCCCCCCCACACCCAAAAAAAATCTGTTGATGAACGACTCAGAAATAATAAGCGCTGAATTTGATGTCCAATCAGTTGTCAATGAATCGTCGCACCTCGACAGTACACATTTCGATGCGGCTGCATAACTCATTGAGGATTTGACTTGGGAGGTGCAAGGCGAGATCTGCCTTGGTTGACCGAGGACAGGGTGGAGCGGGTAGGAAGCTTGTCTGATCCAAAATCAAACGAAAGCGCGGAACAGAGAGGGCACGAGCGCGTGTATGGACGAGCACAGCGTGGGAGCCGTCATGGCGAGTTTGGTGGCCAGGCAGCCCTGCTGGAGCGCGCTTATCTGACTACTGCAGCGAGCCCGGCAGGAGACGAGGCGCGCACACACACACACGCACGCACTCATGATGCACTTGCGCACACGCGCACACACACACACACACACACACACACACACACACACACACGCTGCGAGAACAGCCTTTTATCAGCCTTGTCGACGTCCCACGACGACGACTTATATTGTGTTGCGTTCCCCTCCGCCTTAAATGGCGCCCTCCATCATCTCCACTTTCCCACTCCAGTATCCATCCATCATCACAACGCAGAGCGCGGCGTTCAAGTTGGCGACGTGTTTTATGGTTGGGAAAGGTTGAAATGTTCAGTGTAGAGGAACAATAACACCCAAAGCCATGAGCATTTTTATCAATCTGTAGATTATTGCCTCCATTAACGGATCAAACGGAATCCATCATGAAATAACGCTCCCGTTTGGCTACCCTGCGGCTGCGGATCAGAAACAAAAATATCGTGTGCGGCGAGTTCTGAATTTCCTGCAGTAGTTCAAAGGCAGGCCAGTGCAAACATTTTTGACTGAGGCCCGCACACAGAAAATGGAAGGAAGACGGTGGGGCATATGCAAAGCAGTTAAACATGTCCGAAAAGAAGAAAAAAAAACAAAAAACATCTAAATCTTTGGTCGCTTGGGCTCTCGTGCTTCAAACATGAACAAGAAAAGCGCTCACCTCATGCCTTCGGTAGACTTGTTCTGGTAATTGCAGTAGAGCTGCGGCGTTCCCAGCATGGCCTCGCTGAAGACCGCCAAGAAGCCCAGCGTCTCCACGAACACGGCCGAGTCCACAAGCACGTAGGTGACGTAGGCCGCCGTCAGCGTGAAGGCCGCCACGCACTCAACGTAGTCCAGGAAGCGGCTCCATGACCAGAAGTACTTCCAGTCGAAGTCTAAAAGTCACGGACGATACGGTTGCCACAACATGAGCTACGCCTGCACAATCGAATAGGAAGAGCAAATTTTCAGATGACGCCACTCAGAAGATTGCAGGTTAAGATACCTCTAGAAAAACAGACAGATTTGGCACCTTTACAAATGAGGAAAAGTGAGAAAATGAGCTCTTATTTATAGTCAAACGAATTAACACAGATGAAAAAAAAAAAGGCTTCACACTGGAGACGTGAATCCGCACACAATGTATTTGAAAAGATAGGAATACAATTTAAAAAAAAATAAATCCAACGACAGTATACGAGGCTGCCCCCACTGTGCTTCTTTGTTATTTTGTGAGGAGGCCCCCGAGGGGGACGATGATCGCGACGGAAGGTGCTGTGCAGTCGGCGCGGCTTGTAACAGCGCGGCTGAGAACGTCGACACTAATGAATGATTTCAAAGGCGCCCGCCGCTCGACAGGGCTCCTGCTCAGAACAAATGATGGGATGGAGATTCCGAGCACACCGTTCGCTTCTCGTAACGATCAACAGGGCCGAGCAGTCATCGCGGGGTCATGTTAAGGCCACACGAGACGGCGACGATGACAGCGAACGCCCCGCAGGGGACGCCTTTCCCGTTCCGACGATGCCGCGGCAGCGTCGACCCGATTTGTTTCAACAGATTTGAATGTTGGAGCGGCGGAGGCCATTGAACAGATTCATCAGGAAGCTCCTATCTGCCGCGTTTTTAAATGGGATTTTGGTTTTGGTTTCGACAAGCATTCAAAGCAATCAAGTACAGCAGATTCATCCAATCACACAAGAGAGGCTCTCTTCTGACACACAAACTAGCCGAGGATTCGTTCGGTACACCTGTCACTCAACTGCGCCATTCCAAGAAATAACTCGATAAAGAACTGCTGCAATTCCAATCCCATTTTAGTGACGCGACTGCAAAACAACCCGAAACACTTGCGGCGACATCGGCGGCATCGGCACCGCTTTGAGCCCCGATGCAAGTTGACGGGAACATCGGCCAAACATCCGTCGGTATACCTCGACAAGGGTCTCCAGTCATCTGGAGCGCATCCCATCTGACTCTGGGCCAGCGGCAGGCCGCGACTTCAAAAATCCCCAATGAACCAAACGGACCGATTGGAAACCAACGGGAACGTCAAATCAAATCATCGCTCCCCACTGGAATCAATGGCAATGCCATTAATGCATTCCAGTACCACAAACAACAGTGAAAACAAAACAAAAGCCTCGACAGTATTATCCAGTATGAGTCATCGTGGCCACAAGGGGGGGCAGTATAATAGAGACACACGAGGGGCTTCACGACCAAATGACTCAGTAAGCTGCAATAAGCTTCAGCGTACACGCCTGCAGATGCACACAGCACAGAAAAGTGCCAAGTTGTTCTTGCGCTAACTTAACCTCTTCATCAGCAGTGGGAAGGCAGCCGCTTTGATGACATTTTGAGCTCAGCGTTCAATGAAAAATGCTTTCGTCGGAGAACGAAGGCAGAGCGCTCGTGACATTTACGTGGCATTTCCGAATGAATACGCTTGGCGGACGAGGTAAGCGGGCCTTCGGGCAAATATTCTCATTCTTGCCTTGCCGGATGACGAAGCCAATGGTGCGTCGCTTAGCCGTTGCCAAACTCGCCGGAGAGGCAAACAAAAGGTGCGAAGCGGCGCGCAGGTTTGTTTGCGACGGACTTTGCCTCGGAGCGCCGCTCGTCTTTGTTTAGCCGCGGAGAGCCCCGCTGGCATCGGAGGAGACGCGTGAGCGCGGGCCAAGCGGCAGCGGTTGCGCCGAGCTGATAAAAACACAAATGAGCGGGCGGAGAACGGACGGCGGAGCGACGTTCCAACACAGAAGCTGGCGACTGCGCCATGAGCCACCCGACGCGACGGTGAGCCTCATGCGCCACGTGATGTGAAAGCCAGCTAAAGTCACCCCGGAGCAGCAAAAATGCAACCGACTTCATCGACGGAACCTCTTTCTGCAGACGGTGGAAGGGGGAGTTTGTCAGCCAGATGCAAAAGGGAGGAGACACCTTTTAGGAATACGTTTTGAGTCCCGATGCCAACTGACGCTCGGCCTGGACAACGACTGGTCGGCGCCTCACCAAAATGTCCAAAGTGAACGACACGCGCCGCCGTTTGTGTAAATGCCATTTGTGACAAAAGCGCCGATGTGGCGAAATAAGAGGCAAATGTCTTCAACTGTGCCTGCGAGAGTTCGCAGCAGCAGCAGCACAAAGAGCAGCGTCGTGCATGCAGAGCTGCGCAGAACAACAGAGGGCTCCGTCCTTTTAGCAATTACCCACAATGCACTACCGGCATACACGAATTCGTGTATGGCTAGTTTAGAACAGCCCTCCAATATGGCCGCCGGTAGCGCATTGTGGGTAATTGCGAAAAGGACGAAGCCCTCTACTGTCGCACAGACTTAGGCGCCCGGAGGCTTTCGCTTCCTCTTCCTCCGAGACGACGCATCCGATTCAAACTACAGTCGCCCGCCGTGGCCCAAAACATTTCGGCTTTGACGTCTTGTTGAGCCGGAGCACGCGTTCAAGAATCAAACTACGAGTACGTGAATGAATGATTTTGTCCACTGTCTGTCACCGGCCCACAACCTAGAAGGAGCATTGATCAGAGGAATTGAAACTTCTTGACAGGATTGCGTCATCGGTGTAAGCCTATTCAGTCTTCGCGATGCTTCATAGCTGATGAAATCAACCTTCCAAACGCTTCCCTGACGAACGGCCTCCCTCCATAATGCCGACGTGAAAACGATCAAGTCAACATGAAGTGGATGCGCTCAACCGCTCGGCTATCGCGCCACCCAGAAATGGCATTTTGGTTTTCACTTGATCAGTTTGATTTCAAAGCCATGTTGTCTGCAGTTCACCCGAAACAAACAAATCATCCGTTTTGGAGTCGTAGAATGTGGCGCATCCTTATTTGGCCGTGCGAGAAAGTCATACGATGAAAAGTCTGCCTGGTTGTTCGCTTGCAAACGTCAAGCTGTTTGGATAGAAGGGCCCGCTGTTCTAATGGCACTGTGCAGCAGCCGCCGCCGCGGTGAGAACAATTACAGGATCACGCGCTATGATTAGGGCTTACGCAACGAGAAAAAAAGGTGCGCAATCAGGAGAGCCGCGTGGGCGGAGGCCGCCCAAGACTGCGGGGGAGGACCGACACCATTCGCGGCTTGAACTTTTCACTTCCACTTCCTGTCAGCCATCAGCTTTTGTACAATGCGCTTATTTGCGCCGAGTTTCCGTGGGGACGTCAATCAAGTTGCGGCATGGGATCAATTCTAATAATGACGCGCGGGCGGACATGCTGACCGGGGTCATGGGGTGCGCCGCGGTGGCCTGAAGGCACCGCCCTCCTAAATTGCAGGGTTCGAGTCCCGTCCGCGGTGTGCGCGACTCTCTTCGAAGGGGCTTGAGAAACATGGCCGGCACGTTCGGGGGACCTATACATCTGCTCCTTCGTCAAAATAACCAGCAATGATTGGAATACGGCATATTAAGTGACAAATATGGAGGAGGCAAACCGGGCTCAGTCCCATAAGGACGCGTGGGACGGGCAAATAGTCTCGGAGTGCCATCTCATGCCCATACAGGAAACTGCAGTTCAGTCTGCGCCTGATACGTTGCCAGTCAACACATGGCGCAAGCCACAAGATGAAGTACCCCGTCACAGGCGGATGACATCGCATTGAAGGGTCGACAATTACAGAGACCCGCTCATCCAAGTCAACTTGATTTGAAAAGACATGAGGAAAAATTGAGCAGAACTAAAAGAGAGAAATCAAAATCGGACCAAGTAAAAGTGAAGCTTCCTCTCCGTTAAAAAAAAATAAAACTAAAAACTCACTAAATTTTATGAGAGGAAAGAGTTGTGACTTGAACAAGACTCTCAATTTTTTTTTTCTATTTGTGGAGCAGTTTTGTGAATCAGTGACTTCATTTGAGGAGCAATTTTCTAATGTTGTGGAGCATTTCTTTTTGCATGTGAATGGCAGGGACCTCAAGCTAGGCTTTTATTCAACAATACCAATTTGTTTGTTTGAAAAAAATGTGTGTATATAGATTTTTCTGAATGATAGGAAGTTTGAAATTGTATTTTCACAATTACTCCATTTTTTTGGTACTAGGAATTCTACGGTACAATTATTGTACTGCACCGTATTCCCGAATGAAGCTTCCCATTAAGATCCTCAGAGGTTAGTAGAAATCACAGAGTCAGCGAACAGGCGTGCCCACAACATTAGAAATGACAGCTGAGCGTCTCAGGTGCCGTTTGTTTTGCTTTGCAATGTGGCACGGGCGTCTCATGTAAAACCATCGATTAGGCAAGAAGAGGGTCAAAGAGACGTGTTCAAACGATACAAAAGGCTGTTCGCGTTCAATCAATGCACGCGGAGCAGCATTTGAGACAGGAAGAACAACAGATTACACCTCAGCATGCACAGCTCTGAAGGCCATCAAGTCTACGCCAGCCACAAACAAACAAAAAAAACAAACAAACAATGCGTGAATTATACAGGCAATTGAGCGCTGCTACAGGCATGTGATGTCGAGTAGCATGCAGTGTGCCATGCAGGAGAGTCACGGATACGGAGGACGCGTGAGCGAGTGGGGCGCTGCCAATGCTGTTAGTCGTCAGTTAATGTCGGTCAGGTCTGATGGCGAGGGTGAGGGAAGGAGGGGCGCCGGAGAAGCTGATGACGGAGGATGGCGGGCACATTTCAGCAGAGTACCTACCCAGAAAAAGCCTCTTAGGGATTCGGACCTCCTCGTCCTTAATGTCTGAGGCTACAGACGGGAAATAAATGCACAAGTGAGGAAAAGAAGAAGAAGAAGAGAAGCTTGGTTTCAAGGAACTGTTGCAGCCGAAAAAGGAGGCGACCAACTCCACAGCGGTGTTCCCCTGAGCCCCGCCATGAATACGGAAAAAGTCATTGACACTCCCGCAAAGATTTATGATTGCCTTTGGATGCCACCAGATGGCAGCAAAGCACTAGTTTTATAAGACAGGAATCGGGGCAAAGCTTAACGACAGCGAATAGGTGATTTTTTTCCAGCACATAACGGAAATAGTTAAGAAATAACTAAAAAAGGCAACAAATCACCTCATTTGGGAATTGTGAAGCAGGCAGGTCAAACAAACAAAACCATTTTTTTTCTTCGTGTTTATGGGAAAAATTCCATTTTTTGAATCTGCTTATCTCATGTGCCTTCGGGCAGAATGCGGGACACGCCCTGAACTGCTTGGATGGGAGAAATGTTCATTTTGAATTGCCTTGTAGTGTTTGTCAGACATAATGTGTTCAACACTTGGCATCTCAGCTTCCATTTTGTTTGCTCGTAGAGCCCCTCCATTTTATCTTGAGTACATCGGATCCTGAAGCAGGATTAAACGCCTTGACCGGGACGCTCCGGCAAACACACACCATGTGACTTCACTCACACGACGCATTAAACCCCTGATGACTCAACCGCTTAAGTAAACAGAAGCCTCCAAAGCAAAGAGTACCGTGGTTCAGCTCTGAGCACATTTTTTGCATGGCCTTTTGTTTGAGTTGCGTAAATGTAGATTCTGGCTGAGGAACCGACAACCCTTGGGACAATATATGGCCCGCGACGGCTTTTGATCTGGTCCACCACGCGGGTCTAAATTCAAAACTGCGACCCTGTACGAGAGAAGTTTCTGACCTAGGAAGGAGCGCCGCTTGGTGTTGAGTTCAGCGTTCACACGGACGTTGGTGCACAGGTTGAGCATGGCCAGCATGGTGGCGATCATGATGATGCTCTGCCACAGAAGCAGTGTCTCAAAGTAGCGTCCGAATCTGATGGGAGAAACAGGAACGATGCACAAATAGCCTTCGACATGGAGCAACGCCGCATACCAGATCGCTTCAAGAAGGTCTCAAGATGAGAGTTTGATGCGATCGTGCACCAACAATACAGCAGTCGTGTGTGTAGATTTGTGGGATGTTTTTGTGTATTATGGTTTGCAAGTATCTTGAATCAGCAGTTTCACAAATGGAGTTTGGTGATGTGGTGCCCTGACACTTTTTTTTTTTTTTTTTTGCGTGTGTCTAGCGGATACATTCTTCTGATTCTTAAATCGGGTGTTTTTCCCAAAGTACGCTTATCATGTGGCTCACCAGCATTGGTTTTGTACCTGAAGAGGATCCGCAGGATGTTGGCCACTAGCAGGACCAAGCACACATAGGTGGAGAACCCCTCCGCGTTCTGCGTGCGCCGGATGTCCCGGTACTGGGGGATGTAGGGAACCACCCCGCCGAACATCATTGCGCCGGCTGCCACCCACGACACCAGCCAGTTGAACATGCTCACTATCTGCTCAAACGCTTCGTCTTGCATCATGAGCTGCAATTCAATTTGCCACTCGCTTGATGCTGGCCGTCGGGGCGACGCACAAACAACCTTCGCTAATTCTTAATGCCGCGCATTTGACAGCAGAGATCGCTCGTTACAAATAAAAATGGGTAGGGTAGTTTCAATGTTGTCACTCCTATTTACAGCGGACAAAGGGACTGAAGCCAAAATCTAGCAGGAGACGCACTGTTTCAGTGGGGAGTAGTTTTACACAAAGGTTGCACTTGACTAACATGTCAAAACGTCCCAAAGTCACGTTTAAGTGCCCTTCGAACGGAAACGGCAAATTCGTCGAGAAAAAGTTGGACTCGCCTACCGACAGCCGAGAATCGTTTGGATTTTGGCGACATTGACCGCCACTTCCTGTAAACGTCACGCGTGACGTTACAACCAAAGATGTTTGATGCATTCCAGATGATTCACTCCTCTGCTTCATTGAAGATAAACTATGCTTTCAAAATGGAGAAAACCTACTCACGCTACCAGGGGTCAAAATTATTTTGTGTTTACTTATTAGCAAATTTCAATGTTTTTTTTGTTACTACAGTTGGGATTTGCTCAGAAATAGTGATGCTTTATTGTGTAGTGGAAATGCTTTTAGGATTTAGCATTGTCGCCACGGCGGACGTCGTTTTCCCGACCAAATGTTTGCTCATTCAAAATAGCTCCCTACTCTACTTCGTCGTAAGCAAAAAAAATAAAATAAAAATAGAAACTACGTGTTTCTAAATAAACAAAGTTAAACTACATACTCTAAGTGACACGCGAGTTGTGATCAGTTTGGTATTATTACTAAACAAGTTACTTGATTTTATTTAGAATTTGTTCATTAATATCGAAGCTTGAATGCAACGTTGTGCATTCAAGTGTCGTATGCTCCTAAAATGTGCAAAGATTCTAAGAATAGATATGTTCAGTCTCCAGATTAAAAACCTCACTGCTCAAGATGGATTTCTCGTTGTGTAACAGCATTATCTGTCACTGACACACATGTAATCTGTTATGTAACGAAATAAAAACCTAAAAACCTGATTGTGGTGGCGAAATATGTATACGGGGATATACAAGTTGACGAAGAGTTAAAAATTCGCTCCCTAGTGCAAACATGAATGGAACAATGACTCATGACTGGCAAATGTACAAAAGGTAAAGTTACATCTTACCAAAAATACTTTACACATACCTTCACGATAAAAGACTTGTCACCGCTAAAACAAACAAGTTTGCGGTACGTACGGCATTTATTCCGACATCAATGCAAGCTTATTCATTAGATAAAGTTCACATCTGAATGGCGAATAGGGACCACTAATGCAAAAATAACGGTTTCACCGTGCAATGCTTCATTATTACCTTTTATTCTGAAATGGCGATTATAGGAGGCGGAAATAACGCTACTTGAAGGACGCTAGTCAAAGTTGAATTAAAGTTGCCGAGCGCTCGCAGCTAAAGCTAGTGAAGGATGGGCATCCTTCTCGATTTAGATGAACTCAAAAGGTCGTCCGATGCAAGTATACGACCCGCAAAGTGGTGAGCGAAACGCCTGGTAAAGGATGTCAAAAACTGAGTGCAAAGCAGCCAAAGAGTTGACCCAGGCGGTATGTTGTAATGTATCATTTTTGTGGTTGGCCACAAGTGTAATGTTCATTGTTTCCTACAGATGGACGAAACAATGCAGCGGCTACGAGGAAGATTCCAGGCCATTACTGAACATTTGGAACAACAAAATATCCTCAGTTGCAACAGTCAGCTTTTTTTTTCTTTTTTTTGTCATTGGTCCTTGATTGACGACGGACTTCGAGTTTTAACGCCGCTGTCATAGTTCACCGCGCGACGGTCGTAACGTCGAAAATATCTTTTTTCTTTTTCCTTCCCAAACGTTTTCGTGACGCATTGTGAATAAGTAATTACAATACAATGCGTTTTTATTGATAAACAACTTCAGAATATTCAAGACACGCAGATCTGTTTTTCCACGTTCCAAAATGTACACATTTCTCAGTGCATTCAAAACTCCGTTTGCGATTTTGTTCTACAATAGACCCCCAGACTATTCACGGTTCCCGATTTTGCCGTTTGGTTGATTTGTGCAGGGAAAATAATGTCATTTGCAGAGAAAGTCACCTATTCACTGTTTTTTGAGCTCAGGCCAAAGCAGTTTAGACTATTCGTAAAATTGTATGTCAGGACCCTTATTGGAAACTGTGGACCCCCCGCCATACACTTACACCTTGTGTCCACAAGATGGGGCTAATGACGCTTAGATTGAAGCATCACATTAGTGGCGTTTGAGGAAATGGGAAAGCTTGGATTTCTTGACCGTGGCACTAGATGAGATGGGAACACGAATCAGCTGTCTGGAGGAGAACGTGACAGAGCTCATGACACAAGCCGGCATGGATGAGCAACCCGTTTCCGAAGTGGCTGACGTCTCTCCCCAATAGATTCCACATCAGAGATCAAAACTATGGATGCAGCCAAATAAGTATTACATGCTAAGCAATGATGCACATCTTCACTACCTCTATGAAGCACTTGAAATATACCTATTTTTTTGTAAGAGTTGAACCCAGTGTTATTGTTATTTGGTAGGATGTTGAAACTGCTACCTTTTGACATTTGAAAAAATGCCTTTATATTGTTCCGTGAACAGTGAGCAACAACCACACTGTCACAAGTGGTAATGAAAAGAAGTTTAGTCGTACTTTACCTCAAAAAGTGAAACTCGTAGTTGTATTCATGACACAATCTTTAAAAAAAAAATCTGTATCGTTTTTAGTTCTATTTGAGCTACCTCAAACAATTTGAATAAAACACAATCAAAATGACTCTTACAAAACAAATTGGGCAGTAATTGGCCTTCTATTTTCCAATGTGTGTCACGAATTTGAATGAGTTTCACCTTTTGAATGAGGCTACTGACATCAAGTCTACCATCATCTAATTCATTGAGATCAAAGATCCAGCTCTATTCTATATCTGGAATGAAACGGTAAAAGAAGAAAAACTCTTCATCGTCAGAGATGAAGAAATAGTAAATTATAAAATAAGTCTATGCAAGTTAAATATATACATATATATATATATTTGAATATTTATTTTTTTCGAAAATGACATCCTTTCATGACGTTTTACCAAACTGCCAAGATGTACAAATAAATTTGCATTGAAATACTGGATGGCGTATGCTTTATTTTTCGGAACCGGTGCATTGGCACCCGCTAGTGGTGCAACCGGCTTATTGCAGGTCAATTTGCTTGTCGCTGACCACGGTGCTGATTTGGTTGTTTGTTTTTTTAATGATAGCTGCAGTTTCAGCATCTGAGCTGCAGATGTCAGTATTGATCAAAAACGGACGTTTGTGTTTCCTTCAGCCACTCAACTAAAACAGCCATTATCGCAGCTGCCGGGATGCTGCTGGCTGGCTCTGTTGCTATGGCAACCACAACTGTGGACTAGTCTCTGTAGGGTTTCTTTTTTTGCGTTTGTATTGCTACCATTATGGGATTGAGCGCGTAAGAGACACTCGCGTCATTAAAAGACGACGACGGCACTACACAGCGCTGTGGAGTGGCGAGTGGGCGCGTGTGGAGGGGGAGGCTGAGAGTTTCAACCCGGTGGCCTTTGCCGGATGCCCTCCACTGGGATGGACGGGTCACTCTTCACTTCGGATTGGGGGTAGCACTTCAGAGGCTAAATTCATGTGTTTGCGGGTATGTGCGTGTTGGCCTCATTCACTCTCTCAGCAATGCTCTTCTTCACTTAGCTGGTGAAGTACTCTATAAATGCGAATTGTTTCAAGTGTCTTCCTTTCTGTTCTCATTCCAAGCAGATCCAGACCCTTGCGTTGTCTGTATCGTGTATCCGTCGCTGTGCTTAGTTTATACGTAAAAAATAAAAGTCCTCCCCGAGAAATACTTTGTAAAACATAGTGTTAATGTTTTATTTTTAATCTATCATCTATCTATCAAGTATCGACGAGTACCCCCCCCCCCCCCACACACACACACACTCAGATACATATTGGGGGGGAGGGGCGGCTCCTGAGTGCTCCTGACCACCTGAGGCTGTTTGATACCTGGTGTGCTTTAATCTGCTGTGGTGCTTCCCACTTTGAAGTGAAAATCCCTGATACCTTTCATTCTCTCTCTCTCACACACACACGCATGCACGCACGCACGCAAGCGCGCGCATACAGTCACGCACGCCCACCCGACCGGCCATCTGTTATCACTGTCACCTTAAATTCGCCCAGAAACGGCAGACTGTCATTCATACATTCTATTTTATTCCATTGTGCCGCCAGCAACCTGCGTCTAAATTTAGCCTCCCAGTTATTTCAGGGCCGCGATAGCATACATCACCTTCTGTCGCCTCTCATATATTTCTTTGAAGGGAATCGAAACTTTCTGCTGGCACGCAGGCTATTTCAGGACTTAACAGGCTTTGAGATGAAGAATACTAGGTGTGGACTTTAACCGAAAAAAAAAAAAAAAATGTTCTTCTGGTGTCAATACTTTAGTCAATCGAAAAATGATGGCACCATGAAACTTTTCAGATCACATAAGAGTTAGATCCCCGCAAACATACAAACTCCCAACAAATAGGACTACTATTGGGATTTTGTGATCAAGTGGCAACCAAATGCGGAGTTAACAATCGTGATTTACGGCTGAAAGTAACTTGAATAATCCGATGAGAAAAAGTAACTTTCCACTCTCATTCGCCGACTCCCACGTCACTCACCAGGGCAGCCACACGCATTCAAAGTCACAAATATTACAACGTGAAACGTGATGTTGGTGACCCCAAGTAGACAAAAATAAAACCTTCTCTGGCCATTACTTGTTGGGACCGAAACAGAATGAGCTCAATAATCCAAGATTCTCAGTTACTCAAGGTGTGGAGGATCTTTTTGTTTCTTCTCCCCCCTCATGCCATCTTCTTCTTCTTCCTCATTAATGTGTCTTATTAAGGAGCTGTCAGACTGCTCTCTCTCCTCCCTCTTTCGTTTTTTTTTTTTTTTCAATATGGAGTCACAGGAGCGGAATCATTGTCTGATTGGAGGTGATCGTCATGGTTGCCTAAGCCCCGCGCCTCTCCCTCCCTCCCCCATCATGATTAAGTGGCTCATTGCCCAAGGTGCTTCATCCATTGCTCTGCTTACAGACAGGCTCATTAACATCTGCCAACTAAGCTCAGAGTTTTTTTTGCTCGTAATAAAGAAAGCCCGCTTGGACTTTTTGGGGCTTTGATGTGTGGATTTAGAAATGAACATTATCGATGTCGGTCTTCGTGAAGAAAGCAACCTTACATGCGAGTGCGGCATCAAGACATGAACAGTGGATTGAATTTCACACAATACCGATATCGTTCGTCTGACCTGCTGTTGTCGTCGCAGTGGTGTCCGAAACGTTGCGCGTTCTGCAGGGATCTGAAACAAAACAAAACACGTTATGTGGAAAAAAAAAAAGAAAAAGTCACTTTTTGTAAAGGGGTCTCTGCTGAGTACGGGGAGGGGAAAATGCACAAAATTGGCCCCCCGGCGTGTCTGTGTGTGTACTCGGCTTTCTTCTCGGAAAAGTTCGGAAAAAAATAAACGTAAAAGTAAAGCACAGGCAAATGGGATGATTGCGAGCGAGGGCATGATGAGCGAGAAGGGTGAGTGCACAATGGCGGACTGGATGGCCCGTCTCCCGTGGCAACCCAGTGTTGCTGATGGATGCACAAACACACACGTACACACACGGGCACAGCCGCGTACATTCACTCGTGAATATTCATAAGGGGAAAAAAACACAGGCAGGAGAGATTCGTGCTATATTCATGCCATTTTCACATGAAGCATGGCTTCAATTAGACGGCAACAGTTCCGTGATGGTGGTTCAATTATCCATATTTCAATTGGAACTCAAGACTGGACGCTCAACTCAATGATGAATTGTGATGGGACAATGCGGCAGAAGCGATCATCTGAAAATGGAAACCCGTGCAGAGACTGATAGCAATAAAATGTTGCATCGTGACATTTATGTTTCCTAGCCAAGAATTTTCTTTTTCACACACACACACACATATATTTATATGCATACCTTTGCACCACAGCGCCATTGTGAGTGCAAACTGGAGCCAAAGTGGTCAAGCGCGAGCGTCACACTGGTGATTTTATCTGATGATCTTCACCTCAGTCAAAGTGAGTAATGCTCACCTTGGAGCCAAGGACGAAAAGCAAAGATTACGCTCTGTGTGGGCCGCAGTGGTCCTTCGAAAGGTGATGGATGCCGTCACTGGTGCATACGCCTCGGCTGACCTTGAGGGATCGATTGAACCCGATGAGGTCAGCTGATTTCTTCATTTTTGCATGCACAGTATGTATGTATGTATGTATGTATGTATGTATGTGTTTATATATATATATATATATTAAAAAATAATTCTAATTTTACATTTTTTCGAGTTAACATTTTTTATATTTATATTTGATGTATTGTACTCTTAACATGTAATTAATGATTATAATTATTTGTTCATATTTTTATTAATATTGGTTTTTACAATATGTTATATGATTCATATTCAATATTTTGATTTTGAAGTTGTATCAAGATGCAATCGATACATGATTGTTTTCTTATTTTCATGGATAATGATGATTCTGATGAATAGGTTAATGATGAGGACAAAAATACTCCTTCGTCCTAAAAAATGCGGGAGCGTTAAAACCATGAAAATCGGTATTACGGTTTGTATGAAAAAAAAGGTCCAAAGCAAGAGAGCGACATGATGTATTGCGAAGGCAATTTAATTAGAATGCTTCGAAGGCAATTTAATGATCATGTTTCTCACTAAAACATAATTTCCATGTAGTTGCGTATTGACTAATGGTCATGATTTACAGGCCCCCTTTTTCAAAGTGTAAACACGGGAGAAATCAATCTTTTAAGCCGACCGAACCCTCCTCCCAATCTCCCCTCCGGATTTGCGCTGTGATTGACGGGCAGCTGCGGAGCCATCCGGGCAAAAGAGGACCGCCTCCCCGAAGCGCCGCAGCCAATGGCGGCGCGAGGGAGGGGGGGCCTCGATGCCACCGCGTTGGCAAGGGAGACGGCAGCGGTTCATTCATCATCTTCTCCCTCCGAAGGCGAGTTCGCCGGCCAAATCTCACTTTTACACCAGGGAGGGAGTGTTTGGGACCCAAAGGCTACGCGGAGAACAGGGGAACAAGCTTCCGTCACCCGCACGCACGAGGAGCAGATACTTTTTTTCCTCCCCAAAATCATTTGCAGGTAAGTAGATGGCATTGCGATTGGCTACGAATCTGTACTCCTACAAAGAAGAAGTGGGGCTTCAAGTCAATGGACGGCGTTTTGGATGTGATTCAAGGTGACGCTCTCTGGGGGAAGTGATCCCTTTGCTCTATCTGCGAGGCGGTTCCACACTTCCAGCACGACAAAATAATTCACGATAAAGCTCACGCACGGCACTGCACAGATGGAAGCAGGTGATAGCTCAAGGACACTCTGGGCCGCAAGATTCACGCAATACGGGGTACCGGGGCGCCGTCGTGGCGACGATGCGCAACGGCTCTCCCTCCCTCCCTCCGCATTGATCGGAACACGCAGCCACAGATGACATGCGTGTCCTTCGTGCTCCCGATACAAAACAAGGATACCTGTTTGTCACATCAACGCGGGTCTGAAATGAGTGAGAATATTTCGCATGCTCGTGCAGATTGCGACGTTTGTGCGTACGCATGGGAGCATCCGACTGGCGGGCTTCAGGCGGCTTTATTGATTTTTTGAACCGTACAGTAGGCAGGTCAGTGGGAGTAGAGAGCCATGCATCTTCCGCGTGGTTCCGCGCCAGGCAGCATCGAGGTCCGTCAGAAAAGATGGCGCACATTTAAAGGGCAAGAAGAAATGGCAGAGAAGGTTCCCAACTAAACTCGAGTAATAGTCGTTGTTCACACAGTGCAGAGTTCATATGCCCGTGAGTACTGTTTCTAGGCGCTTGTCAGTGTAATTGAATGGCAGTTCTTTTCAGTGTGAGCTCACCTCCATGCTAATTTCAGTG